CTTCAGCCTGGATTTAAAAGTAGTCAGAGTTGCAGCGGACCTGCAGGTTTCTGGGAGTTTGTTCCAGATATTTGGAGCATAATAACTGAACGCTGCTTTACCATGTTTAGTTCTGACTCTGGGGACAGAAAGCTGACCAGTCCCTGAAGACCTGAGAGATCTGGATGGTTCATAATTTAGCAGGAGGTCAGAAATGTATTTTGGGCCTAAACCATTCAGTGCTTTATAAACCAGCTGCAGTATTTTGAAATCTATTCTTTGACACACAGGAAGCCAGTGTAAAGACTTAAGAACAGGAGTGACACTTTCTTAGTGTTAGTGAGGACTCGAGCAGCGGCGTTCTGAATCAGCTGCAGCTTTCTAATAGATTTTTTAGTGAGACCTGTGAAGACACCATTGCAGTAGTCGAGTCTACTGAAGATAAAAGCATGGACACGTTTTTCCAAATCCTGCTGTGACATTAGTCTTTTAATCCTAGATATATTATTTAGGTGATAGTAGGCTGATTTAGTAACTGTTTTAATGTGACTGTTGAAACTCAGGTCAGAGTCCATGACTACACCTAGATTTCTGGCTTTATCTGTTGTTTTGAACATTGCAGACTGAAGCTCAGCGCTAACTTTTATACGTTCTGCCTTGGCTCCAAAAACCATTACCTCAGTTTTATCTTTGTTTAATTGGCGAAAGTTCTGACACATCCAGTCATTGATTTGTTCAATGCACTTACTCAGTGTTTGAATTGGAGCATAGTCTCCTGGTGAAATTGTTACGTACATTTGTGTGTCATCTGCATAGCTATGGTAACTTATTTTGTTGTTTTTCATTATCTGAGCCAGTGGTAGCATGTAGATGTTAAAGAGAAGAGGCCCCAAGATGGAGTCTTGAGGAACCCCACATGTCATATTTGTCAACTCAGATGTGTATGTACCTATAGAAACAAAGTTGTTTCTGTCCTTTAAATAGGATTCAAACCAATTTAGAACTGTTTCCGAAAGTCCTACCCAGTTTTCCAGTCGGTCTAGTAATATGCTGTGGTCAACAGTGTCAAACGCAGCACTGAGATCTAATAATACTAACACTGAAGTTCTGCCACTGTCTGTGTTTAAGTGGATGTCATTAAAGACCTTTACAAGAGCAGTCTCAGTGCTGTGGTTTGGACTAAAGCCTGACTGGAACACATCGAAACAGTTATTTAAATGCAAGAAATTACTCAACTGTTGAAAAACAACTTTTTCAATGATTTTACCTAGAAATGGGAGGTTTGATATGGGCCTGTAATTGTTCATTACTGAAGCATCTAGATTATTCTTTTTTAAGAGCGGTTTAATGACTGCAGTTTTCAGGGCCTGTGGAAAAATACCTGAGTGAAGAGATTTGTTTACTATATGAAGTAGATCTGAGGCCATGCAAGGCAAAACATCTTTGAAAAATCCTGTTGGAATAATATCAAGGCAGCAGGAGGAGGATTTCAGAAGTTGTATAATGTCCTCTAGGTTTTTATCATTAATCTGATGGAATTGTGTCATGGTGTTTGAATTTATGTTAAGTGGACACAGAGACAACACATTTGCTGTACCTGATGCAGAGGCACTGACTGCTTGTCTGATTTTCTGAATGTTGTCAGTGAAAAAGGAGGCAAAATCCTTGCACGCCCTGGTGGATAGAAATTCAGAGGCTACTGACACTGGGGGGTTAGTCAGTCTGTCGACGGTAGCAAACAAGGCCCGTGCGTTGTTTTTGGTAATGATGTCAGAGAAGAACGATTGTCGTGCGTTTTTAAATTCCAAATTATAAAGGCCAAGTCCCTCTTTATAGATTTCAAAGTGCACCTGGAGATTTGTTTTTCGCCACCTGCGTTCAGCTTTTCGACATTCTCTTTTTTCTGTTTTCACGGTCATGGCCTTTCTCCATGGAGATATTTTCTTCCCAGTCACTTCCTTTACCTTAGTTGGAGCAATGGCATCTATAACATTTTTAATTTTTGAATTAAAATGATCTACTAGCTCATTTACTGAGATGTTAGCAGCGGCAAGTGTGGAAGAAAAATTCTGAGTAAACATTTCCCTAGTATTTTCAGTTAAATATCGCTTTGTGGTTACCTGTTTTTGAACATTTTTGTGAACAGAAATAGAGCTCTCAAAGAAAACACAGGAATGGTCAGAGAGTGCAACATCAGTCACCACAACCTTAGAGATATTCAGACCCTTTGAGATAATTAAGTCCAGAGTGTGCCCCTTATTGTGCGTGGGCTCCGTCACATGCTGAGTCAGTCCATAGCTATCAAGAACACAAAACAGTTCTTTTGCCCCTCTGTCCTGGGGGTTGTCAACATGGATGTTAAATCACCAACAATGACTAGACGGTCAAAGTCAATACACACTATAGACAGCAGTTCCGTAAAGTCATCAAAAAAGCTTGCACAGTATTTGGGTGGTCTATAGATATTTAGGAACAGAGCTCGAGAGGAGCATTTCAGCTGAAGGGCCACATATTCAAAAGAATCAAAGTTCCCATAAGATGTCTTCCTGCATTGAAGGGAATCATTGAACAGAATAGCAACTCCACCCCCTTTCTTATGCATTCTTTCCTGACTCATAAAACTAAAGTTGGGAGGGGTTGATTCGATAAGAACAGCTGCACTGTTATTTTGTTCAATCCAAGTTTCTGTTAAAAACATAAAATCGAGATTGTGCTCAGTGATAAAATCATTGATTAAAAATGTTTTTCCTGCCAAAGACCTGACATTTAATAAAGCTAGTTTAAGTTTGTTAAACACACTATCAGTCATGTTTTTTGTAACAAGCTGTGGCTGACATGGAATCACGGCTAAATTAGATAAACTCACACAAACGTTTGAGCGCTTCCTGTATCTAAGATGATTCACCACTCTTAATCTATTACCTATCAACACAGATATCGGCAAAGCTATAGGCAGGCAGGGCCCCGGCATGTCCTGGAAAGAGTTGAGAGTGCCATACGCCCTTGAGCCTGGACCCAGCACATATCAGTAAGAGTTTGTTGCATTTTGTACACACACATCCTTATCAGGCTTCGGAGACTGCAGATTCTTTCTTGATGAAGACGGGGGAGGTGGTGCGCGTCTCTGCTTCAGTGATTTTGGTGGGCGTCGCTGAGGAGCGGGGGTAAAGGACATGCTGCCAGCCCTGCGTATCACCTTAGTTTGGTTATTGAACTCCAGGAAGGAATCGGTGCCAGCCCTGCGTGTCGCCTTCATGCGGTCATCGAACTCCAAGGGGGTGGGCGAGGGTGAAAGGGTGAGCGGAGAGTAGAGAGAGCTGGGGGATGAATGAAGAGTATCCTCAAAGGCGTTGACAGGGGGGGGGGGGGGGGGGGGGGGGGGGGGGTGACGGGCAGTGGAGACTCTTCCATGTGTCTCATAGGTCTCCCATAATCAGAACATTCCTCAGGCGGGTGCAGTGATAATTCTTCAGGGTTTTCTGCGCGATGTGTTGTGTCTTTCTCTTGTTTTGATTCCTCTTGCCGCTTGTCCTTGGCAGAGGGAACAGATTGATGACGCAGGCAGTTGAATATGTTAGAGATAAACAATTTCACTCCTGATTTGTTCAGACAAACTCCATTTGCCTTGAAAAGATGTCTGCGATCCCCAGCAGCCGGAGCTATCACTGGAGCGGCCGTCTGAGCCATCACTGGAGCGGCCGTCTGAGCCATCACTGGAGCGGCCGTCGCGGCCATCACTGGAGCGGCCGTCGCGGCCATCACTGGAGCGGCCGTCTGGGCCATCACTGGAGGAGTCGTTGTGGTTGCTGGGGCCGCCGCCAACGTAGTTGGATGTTCAGTGCAGCAGTTTTTAAAGTGACTAAAGAACATCTCCTTTCTCCCAATGATTGTTGGGCAAAAGCCACAGTGATAATGGCTGCTGGCCACACATTTGAGATGGCATTTATAAACATTATAACCTAAAAAAGAGACAGAAAGTGGTTTAGAGGATTCTAGAAACAAACCAAAATGAATTTCTTTTAAATATGCTATTTGAAACAAGGTGTTTGTACGAGAGCAATAAATAATCATGTCACCAACAATAATATTTTTGCCTATAAACTGAATTTTTGCAGATTGAATGTGTGATTATGCTCATATTGTGCCTACCCCAAATAAGGACACTATTCGAGCATTATTAACAATTCATAACCTGAATATAAATCTAATTTTTAATGTTCAATTTCTAATTCAAAATTAATTTACACCAAGGATGTCCTGGGGCACAGAAATAACACATGTATCCATAATGAGTGAGGCATTAAATTAAGTCTGCCACCTTATATATTTATATTTAAGGCTTTACTGATGTGCCACAATAATGTCACCAAATGTTATTGATCTAAAATATTAAAGGTGGGGTAGGTAAGTTTGAGAAACCGGCTCGAGATACACTTTTTGTTATATTCCATGGAATGCTCTTAACATCCCGATAGCAATGAATATCTGAAGACAAAAAATCCATAAAAAATGTCATCTGTGGAAGCCGTATACTGTAAAAAGCACGACCGATCATTTTAGCCGGCCCGGCTAAAATAACTGGATGGCCTACCTGCCTGTCAGCCTTCCATACTCAAGTGAAGTAGGCCTACAAGTATCCCAAATAAGTTGTACTTAGGCTAAGTACAGTACTTGAGTACATTTAGTAGGCTAACTTCCGATCTGTCGGTGAAAATCGTTTCAAATGTGACACTTGTTAGAAAAGGTTCACCCAGAAGTCAAACAAAAGTGATTCATGCAACTTACTGAACAAGTGTTTGGGAACATGTTGTTTTTATGTTATTGTTTCCCTTATTAGTTATTGTGGGAGATTGGGATAATGTGAATGTCAATCTAGTTAGGTAGCGGCAGCACCGTATAGATAGATTATATCTATAAAAGTATTTTATTGTTTTTTACACACCGTATAGATAGATTCTATCAATAGATAGATTCTATCTATACGGTGGCGCTAGGTGGCGGTAATGTAACTTTATCAGTGCAGAACGCCTCCCTAAACCAACGAAGAAGAACATTACACCGGAAGTTGTGTTGTTCATGCCAGCGAGAAAAACACAAGTTGGTTTGGTTTATTTTGTCTTTATACATCCATATATTTCACACAGTAGAAATGGCTGCAGTTGAGAAACTGAGAAGTGTTATCAACGAGCGACTAGCTGCAGCTGCCGATGAAATATTTGGAGTTTTTTCTCAAGCTTTATCAGCATACGAGGAGGAGATTTGTCGTCAACGCAGATTATTGGATACAGTCTTGAAGCCTCAGATAAAGCTTCACAGAACAGGTGTGTAAAAAACAATAAAATACTTTTTTGATTTCCTATCAAGTACTTACACATTATCAAGCAATCTGAATGGGATTCATTATGGTTGACCCCTCTCGTTAGCTATATTTTGTGTAGGGTGTGAATAATGTATACAAAGTATATTAATTTAAACCTATAATACCTTACGTATTTTCATGTTCTACTCATTTATGTACGAGGTAGTTAATTGTGATCTATATTAAGAAATCAGATATAAATACATAATCAAATAGAACAGAAGGACTCATTTCCAATAAAAATAAGTGTGTACTTGTCCAGTTAAGAAATACAATTTATTGAAAATACTGCATCCTATTTTGACGATAGAACCACATTCTGTTCATTAATTCACGATCAAATCTCCAGCAAATATCTCAAATACACACATCGCAGCGGTTAAAATACACATCAGGCCCGGTTCTAGAACAAAATGACTTGGGGTGCATCTGAGATTACAGGGGGTGCATCAGTAGTAGGTTTACAGAGCAATAGCGGCCAGCAACAGCAATGAAAATAGCATTGATTTTATGGTCCCCAATAAACAAATTATGGCATTTGTAATGTTTTGAAACCAAGCAAGTGAGAACATTTCAAGTGAGTTAAAAGTGCAATCCTGAAATAGTTCATCCAGTCCAAAGTGGACTATGGCAAAGAAAAGCACAAAAGCTTCAAAACTGTACTGATAAAACAAATGAGAACATATTGTAAATCAAGGCAAATATGATTTGAACCAGCTCATGGTTTGAAAAGGCAAACGTATTATTAAAACCATGTACATCATCACCTTGGTACCTTGGTATCATATACTCTGGGAAGAGAATATTTACTTTGCTTGATGTATCACATCATCGTGTGAGGTTGACTTTTTGACCTGGAGAACATTTCAGCTGCAACATTAGCTTGTTGATTATCTTGGAATATGAGATATTTTGTAGCCATTCGTGGTGACGGCATCTGTGCTATTGTATGCATTATTTGACCCAACATTTCTACAGGCATGGCAGAATATGGCACTATTTTTACATCAATATTCTAGCCATTGTCTATTTTTATACCACAAGCTGCAAAATGACCGTCTTGCCCCACTGTACTGGCGGGTACTTGTTTAGATATACCTGGGCAGGCTCTGTTTTGCCGAGGTCCGCTGGCACCTGCCGCCCGCCGAGGGGCGGCGTTGTTTCAGGCGACGAAGACTGCTGCTTCGGGGCGGCGAGTCGGGCGGCAGTATGTTAGTGTCCACGACGGAGGGTGACATAATGTCCCCATCTGACCTGTTGTTATTGTCTGCAGTAGATTCAGTGTTGCTGGCGTTTAGTGATGGTTGTTTTAACCATTTTCTATATCCATGATTATCCACAGATGTGTGTCACTGCTGTGGAAGCACTTTGGAAATAATGCACGTGCAGCGGCGCAGGTCACACGCACCTGACATAATTTGTTTTGTATTGTATTCTATTATTGTTGTTATATTTATAATATTTTTCGCTCCCTTCTCTTTTTTGAATAGAGGGTGCATAACATTCGTGCAGTGCATGCCTATGCACCCCCGTAGAACCGGGCCTGATACACATTGTTAAAATATGTTATAGTTTTAAAAAGTTGGTGGCCGTGTGTTGATCTTAACACCATTGCCCAGCATTGAAGGCAATTTGCTTCCCTAACACCACACTAACAGCACTTTGTTTATTTTCTGTCCCTCCAGAGCTCCCTCAGCAACATGTCTGTAATGAGGATGAGGTTCTCACTGACCAGCAGCTCTGTAGTCAGGAAAGGAACTCCAGTCTGGACCAAGAGGACCCAGAGCCTCCACAGATTAAAGAGGAACAGGAGGAACTTTGCACCCGTCAAGAGGAAGAGCAGCTTGAACCAAAGCAGGAGACTGATGTCTTCATGGTGACTCTTACTGATGATGGAAAATTGACTTCGCTATCGGATCATGATCAAAATCAAAGTGTAGCAGAGAAAAAGCCTCCTGACAACATTTTACCTAAAATAAAAATATCTGAACCTAACAGAGAGAGCTCTGGAGGACCAGAACAAAACCGTGAACATCAGCTCCTTTTTCACATCTCTCATGTAACACGTAACCAAGATCAGACAAGTGGCAACCATAGAAATGCAACAAAACCAAATCAAAAACACAAGGGGACCAAACCAAGTGAAAAACAATATAAGTGCAACAGCTGCAGTAAAGACTTTTATTTGTATTCAGAACTTAGAGTTCACATGATATCTCATGGTGCTCGGAAGCCGTTCAGTTGCACAGTTTGTGGAAAGGGATTCAGCTTCAAATGTAACCTGAAACGACACATGGTCACCCACTCAGGGGAAAGGCCGTATTCTTGCAACTATTGTCACTGGACTTTCCGGCGTTTGGAACATTTGCAAGTTCACGTAAGAAGTCACACAGGTGAAAAGCCTTACAGCTGTGTTTACTGTGATAAGGCAATGTCCTCGAGCTCAGCATTGATTAGACATGTCCGTTCGCATGCCGGTGAGAAGCCTGAGAACAGCAATATTTCAGGAGAGATTTTATAATAAGAAGTTGAGACTTAGAATTGCATCCTCTAATCATGAGCTCACCCCCGAAGCAGCAAATAACTGTTTACCCAGAGCCTTGTGTGATGCTTTTAAAGCCCTTTTTATATAATGTTCTTTATATGCATTATATTAATGCACAAGTGTGAAAGAAATGAAACGATTTGTGATTCATGTGGCAGCTTGGATTGCAACTCTAAAGCAAAAATATATTTGATAGTGTTGAATTATGTAAATAAAGATGAATAGATGTTACTGCTAGGGTTAATACTGTAATATGTCCCCTTAAATAAACTTGAAAAAGATGCTTAATCAATTGTCCTGACATCACAAGTCTGTAAATTGATTTAACAGATAGCAAAACACTTACATTACATTTGACACATCATTTGGAATAACAGAAGAACTAAGCAGCAGCCTTTATCCCTCTTCAACTTTACTTCATTACATTACATTGCATTTAGCTGACACTTTCATCCAAAGCGACTTACAATAAGTGCGTTCGACCAACAAAATACAAACTTGAAGAAAACAGAATCATAAAGTACATCAGGGGCCTATACTACGAATCTAGTTCAACCTAACCTGGATATGTTTGAGTTAGCCGGTTGGCCTAATCCAAAACATACGCGCTCTCGCTAAACTGTACTACGACGCTGGTTATCAAGTGGATCGCTCAAGCCAGCCGTTTCCTATCTAGTTAGGTGCGCGTTCACATGAAAGGGGTGGTATCTGGAGCATTCGACCAATCAGAAACATGGAGAAGCGTACTGACAGCGCAGCGTCATACTTCCTGAATGAAAAGTTAACTTTAATACTAGTCAAAAATGAAGAAGTTGAACTTTAAACATCCATGACTTAAACACTTTATCCAGGATAAAAGCCACATAGCTGCACCTGCAAGGTGAATACAGCTGGCAAAAGAAAAAGTGTTTGAATGCGTACATTAACAGGTTTATGATATCACTGCCCCGTCTAAAACACGATCTGACTTTAATTACATTTGTCTCGAGTGTTTCGTCAACTTAATGTGTTGCTTAAAATAATACTTCTGCATACAGTATGTGACACTGAGTGTTGCACGGCCAGATAGGGCTCAGCTGACTCAGATAAGAAAATATGATACATTATGAAGTGATATGCCGCGGACTGTACTTAATGTTACTCTGATCCGGTTACTTAGGCCTATGTTGTGGCAGATATTTAAGTAAGCTTTCTTAACGCTAATGTTATAATAGTCAGATTGCTCTGAAGATGGGAGGTGATATTCTATTAATGTTCACGTTCACACAGTCGGTGATTTTTGCCGGCCGTCTTTCCTGCGACGGCAGTTTTTCTGTATTTCCTTTCTCCTGTAATATGACTTGATCGCTTTAAACTCCGCACACTGAGCTCTGATTGGTCAGCAGGCAGTGCTTTCACTGAGTTGAGCTCTTAGCCTGCAACCTAACCTGGTCCCGACCAGGTTAGCCGCTTAGCATAAGTTACCATGGAGATCTAGCCTGCTAAAAAGAGAACCAGCTTCGTAGGACCGGAAAGCCGGAGTTTGCCCTGAATTTAGCCGGCTAAGCGAAAATCCTGATTCGTAGTATACCCCCCTGGTTTCATAGAGCCAAAACATTTCAAGTGCTACTCAACTGGCTTTAGATAAGCCAGCCCTTTAATATTAGCATATAAATGCTTTGTTAGTCATTTTATTCTTCGCTATCATGTCCTCTTGGGTTTATGGCCAATGTGTGGAATTTCAATGCTGGAAGTCATTGTACAAATGCAAGATGCAGATTTGTAGAATCAAATATTTTACTGTTCTGTCTGTGTATGTAGTGTCCCAATAGCCTCCAATGATGAATGTTTGAGTGACTCTGCCCTTATTCTTCCTTTTGAGTTATATTTTCTTTGGCAACTGTTAAGTTACTTTAATTTCATGTAAGAGTTCTGAAAGACTTGTGGATGTTCAGCAACTGTTTTGCTAATACATTAAGAATTGTAATTGTGTTGTTGTTGTTCTTTTAATTATCACTCAGAAACGTTCGGCTGTTCCATCATCTCTTATGTGGATGTGTGAATATATTGGATTTCGTAGTGCTGGTCAAACAAAACAAGCCATTTGAAAACACCTCCTTAGGCTCTTGAATTGACACATTGACAATTGCCAAAGCACTGAGGTGTAACTGTTTACATGGCATTACAATATTATGATCAAAAATCTACTCTAAACAAAGAATCCAACCTCAAACATAATTTATTTGAAGTTCTTTAATATAAAACACAAAATACTTGCTTAACAAGCCAGCATTTAAGATGTTTATAGCAGCGATGATTAGTATTCACTCGAGTGAATCTGACAAGTTTTAAAGGTGTATAATAAAATCTTCCTATAGCCTTGATCCATAAACAGTACATTTAGAAAGATGGATAAATTAAACTGTTGGAAACTATTAGACACTGCTTATAAACTGTAATCAATGATTACTCAATCATACACGAAAGGAAAAGAATAAGGAACATATTCTGGTTGGCTAACTTAAGAAGAGTTTTTACTTATAAAACTACACAAATAGGGGGAGGCGTGTGGCACAGTAGATAGAGCCTTGGTCTGGGGATCAGATGGTGACAGGTTCAAACCCCACTGCAGACAGCATGTCATTGTGTCCCTGGGCAAGACACTTCCCCCCAAATTGCTCCTCTGGGGATTGCCCACAGTATTGAGTATGTAAGTCGCTTTGGATAAAAGCGTCTAACAAGTAACATGTAATGTAAACATAATCACTCACTTATTTGACACACTCCCGTGCAGTAGGTGGCAGTATGAGCCCAATATGTTGTTTGTTTACACAACTTCTCATGCGGAAGAAAACTGTCACGCACGTCACATCCACGAGTTATAGTTTGTTACGAAGTTTTAAGCGATAAAAAAGCATCTTTATTTGTATTCAACAATGTCTTCAGTTCAAAGTATGAGGCGGTTTGTCTGTGACCGACTCACTGCGGCTGCTCAGGAAATACTGGGAGCTTATGAGAAGAAGATAGAAGGCTACGAGGCAGAAATAGCTCGTCAACGCCGACTGCTGGATGCCGTGCTGACACCTGAGTTAAAGTTACACCGGACAGGTACGGACAAATATTTAATATTTTTTAAAGGCTGTTCGTTTTTGAGCAATTTAATAACACGTACTTTGAGTCCAAAGACTGTAAGTCGAACCCCACATGCCAGACAAACCAGTTTGACAGGTGTAATAATAGAATAATAACAAAGATGCCAAAGATTATACTTTCGCATAATCACGTCCAAATTGTCCGTACACTTTAATATGCTTATGTTAAAACAAATACTATCTTAATGAATGTTACACCACCTAACATGCGGAAGTCCCCTCTGTGCTGCAGTAATCTTCTTTCTGTCCAAATGTACAAAAGCCAATATGTTTACTCAAGTACTTCGTTAAATGCAGTTCCGAGGTACACATAGTACTGTCTGTACTTGTGTATCCCATGTTACTTCTGCTTGTACTACAATTCACAGTCAACACTGTACTGTACATACTTTAATCTGAGAATTAGCTTTAGCTCTATAGTCTATAACCTTATACAGGCCTATACATACAAAGTGTAATTAAAGATGTGCTTTTATGCAACCTTCTGGCTTGTGACCACTTCCAGCTATACTTTGCTTTTATATGTAAATACTTTATTTATGCTTTTAAGCCAAACATATACAACCTTAAGGATATAGTTGTTCAACAAACTAGGTATGCCTTGGATTGTTCTGCAGGTCTTGACATGTCTTGGATGTCTTTGAGTTGTTGGCAAATCCACTACTGAGTGTTTGATCTAAACATCTGCAACCATGGAGATTCAACATACTAAGTTCACCCAGTATTTTACAAACTGAAAAAGTTGAAGGAAAAGCCAAAACGAATTGTAAAATTGTACATTTGTTATTTTTTACTTTTTTCTGACAACCCTTCAGATTCATTTATGACACACTAGAGGGGGCCAAACCCCTATGTTTGAACTAATCTACCAAACTGTATATATAGTATTTGGAACTATCTTCACCTTAACCAGCTTCAACAATAAAAGCCTACATGTTTATTGATTGATCAATGTTAATGCAGTGTTAACATTAGTTTAACATAAATACATAAATTACTCCTCATTGGGCAACTCAAAATGTTCTATGTATTATAGACTATTTTATCACAACAGTTACATATAGGTTTATCTATTCACAGTCAGTCATCATTGTCCCATTCCTTTCTCCCTCTACATTCAGAGCTCCCACAGAGACATGTCCAAAAGCTGGAGGAGGATGACGAGGTTCTCGTGATCCAGCCGCAGCACTTTGACCAGGCGACCAGCTCCAGTCATGTACCGCCAGATCCTCCACCTGTTAAAGAGGAACAGGAGGAACGATGCATCAGACAAGAAACACAGCAGCTTGGACAACAGAAGGAGACTGAAGCCTCTAAGTCAGCTTCAACTTGTGAGCAACCTGTCAACAGTGACCCCTCTCAGTTTTTGGTTCCTCATCAAACTGAGAGTGCAGTGAATCAAGATCCTCAATCCAGCATCTCAAGCAAAGATATTTTATCTAGATCTGACGGGGAGACTTCTGCAGTATCTGAACCAAGCACTGACCACCAGCTCCCCTCTCACAACTCTGCTGGAAGCCAAGATCACGTAGCTTGTAACCATGGAAATGCAAAACCAAGAACACACATCGAGTCACCACAAAATGAGATAAGCAAAGTCCAAAACTCAACATCAGCTACAGGAAGTGAGGAAACATCAGATAAGAAATGTGGTGATAAGAACACAGCAGCCACCAGCAGTACTGAACTGACAAATGAGGAACATATCAATGACAACACAACATCAAGTGGAAATGATGAGCCAATGCCAAAAAAGAGTCCAGATACTGGTAAAACCACATCAGCTACCACTCCACATAGGAAAGGTAATAATGAGATCACAGCCTCAAATGAAAAGCCAACAACAAACAAGAAAGGTGAAGATGGGAGACCAACCTCACCAGGAAATGTTGATACAATGCCAAATGCCAACACATTATCAACCAGAGGCACTGAGCTAACACCTAATAGGAAAAATAATGGTGAGTCCTCAGTATCAGCTAAAAGTACTGAACCAACACCAAATGAGAAATGCAACGATAAGACCACAACATCAGCTACAGACACTGAGATGACACCAAACAAGAAATGCAATGATAATGTTGCAACATCTAAAGGAAAAAGTAGGCCAACACCAAATAAGAAATTCCAAGACGAGAGACCTAGCTCACCTGGAGGTGTTGAGCCAACACCAAATAAGAAAACAGATAGAGGCACAGAGCTAACACCAAATGAAATATCTAATGAAAACAAACCTAAGTCAAAAGGAACTAGTGAGTCAACAGCAACAAAGAAAAGCCAAGAGGGGAGACAAACCTCTTCTGGAAGTGTTAAGCCAAAAAAGTCACATAGCAATGAGAAGACAACATCAGTTACAAATACTGAAAAAACAAAACGTAAAAAATCAACCAGAGCCGTTGAGCTCACACCAAATAAGAAATGTAACAATGAGACGACAACTTCAGGTAAAAGTCCTGATCCAAGAGCAAGCAAGAAACCCAACGATGGGAAAACAACATCAACTACACGTTCTAAATCCAAAACGAATGAGAAGCTTCCTGATGGGTGTACAACTTTAACCACAAGCAACAAGGTTACACCAAAAAAGAGACAGAATGATGGGAGCACAACATCTAAGGGAAGTACTGACAAAACACCAAATAAGAGACGCAAGGATGATAAAACAACATCAACTACTGAGAAAACACAAGTTAAGAAACGTAGCCAAAGAAGCACAACATCAAATTCTAACTCACCACCCAATCAGGGAGATGGGAACCAATCAGGTGATAGCATCCAGGATGATAATAACCCGTACAAGTGTGACAGGTGCAGTAAAGTGATGACTAACTTCAAAAACTACAAATTTCATATGAAATCCCACACTGTTGAGAAGACTTTCAAATGTGACACTTGTGGTTTAATGTTCAGGGAGAGTTGGGATTTGAAAAAACATTTAACGATTCACTCTGGCGAGAAGCCTTTCAAATGCAAAGTTTGCGGAAAAAGATTCAACCGGCAGTATAATCTGGATCTGCATTCACGTGTTCACAGTGAGGACAAGCCGCACAAATGTGACACGTGTGACAAAAGCTTCAGGTCAGATGTGAATCTGAAAAAGCATGTGAGAATTCACACAGGTGAGAAGCCTTACTCCTGCAGCAAATGTGGCAAAGGATTTGCTGATTCTTCGTCTTACAAAAATCATCTGCGAGTTCATTCGGGGGAAAAGCCCTTTGTGTGTTCTTATTGCAAGGTACGATTTGCTACCACGACAACTTTGCAAAGGCACATCAGAACACACACAGGTGAAAAGCCATACAAGTGTGAGGTGTGTGACAAAGAGTTCGGTCACAGAACAAACCTGAAAAGACACATGAAGTTGCATAATGAAGAGAAGGGCTACAAATGCTGTACCTGTGGAGAAGCATTCCCTACATGGCTAAAACTCAACCAACACGAGAGGGTACACTGCAGTGATGCACAAAGCTCCACTGCCTAAAAACATGTCTGCATTTGATACATCAAACTTATGATACAATTATTTTGCAGCCAGAGTGCATAGTGGAATTTCATTTAAACCGGCTCGAGATACACTTGTTGTTATATTCCATGGAATGCTCTTAACATCCCGATAGCAATGAATATCTTAAGTGCTTTAACAAAAAATCCATAAAAAAATGTCACCTCTGGAAGCCTTAGTACTGTAAAAAGCACGACCAATCATCTGAGCCGGCACGGTTAAAATAACTGGATGGCCTACCTGCCTGTCAGCCTTCCATCTGTGCACAAACTTATCTCGTGCCCTTATTGGTCATGTGCGCGTTCGTGTGTGTTGGAGGAGGGGCTCTGTGAGGAAGTGGCAGATTTTTTCCGGCTGTGTATTTTCAAATCCTAGCGCACTCGAGCTGGTTTCTCCAAAATTACCTACCCCACTGTCTAAAAAGAATACATTGTTAAATCTGTTCCTTTGGATAATAAGAACCTGTTTTTATTTTCTGCACAAACTGCTTTTAATGTTTTAGCCTATTTGTGCTGGGAGCTGATGATGGGGCAGCTTTTGTTAGTGTCTGCTGCTTCAGCTGCTAGTGCTAGTTTATCGACAATCATCTATTCATAGAATATGTATTCAGTTTTTATTGGAAATTGTCGACATCCTTGTATTTGTATGGTCAACAAAGTTCTTGGTCGGATGCGGTTGCAAGGTGTTACAATAACAAAATGATCCAGCTTGTTTGCTGGACTATCCTTTGTTTTTTCTGATATTGTTTTAATCAGAGCTATTATTCACTTTATTGTCAAATTAAGAAAGTAAACTTTGCTTGTTTGTTTTCTAAATGCATCAATGTTTTGACTTGTATCTAATAACTTTTCAAAGTGAATCATATTCCTACAATCAACACATTCAGCACAATTATACTGTAAAACATTTAATTTTAAATAAATTGTATTGCACTGTTTCTAAAATGGTGTGGTTGTAATGTTTTCTGTTGCAATGTACGTTTTAGTCAGCTTGGACTGACATTTCCTGGAAGGCACATGTTGCACAAATGTGCCTTTTTCTGACGTTGCCCCTGTCTCACTGTTTTATTATCTCTGATGTAGAGAGATTAACAGCTCTGGCAGGAAATGAAGCATTTCTGTTAAAGTGACAAACTGAAGACAGTGTGTCAGAGCTAAGCCAAGAAAGCCTTATTTCTAAATGATTTAAAATGTCTGCAGTTGAAAATTTGAGAAAGGTTATCAACGAGCGACTAAATGCTGCTGTGGAGGAAATATTAGTAGTTTGTGAGCACACTATAGTTGTGTACGAGGAGAAGATCGTCCGTCAACGCAGATTGCTGGATTTCCTTTTGAAGCCTGACATAAAGCTACACAGGATAGGTATGTCACTGAGGTCCTTTTGTATTTTTTACATTATTGTAACTTGCATTAAGCCAAATAAATGTTACAATTCTGACATTTGTAAGATGAACCACGCCTACCGGGTTTAGCTAGCGTTGCAGGTTCTTCCTGTTATTCTTATATTCAATAACATATTGAGTGTGGGTTTTTTATTTACTTCTATGCTGACTTGCCAGACACAAATCTGAATGACTGTTTTATAAATCTGTTTAAATTGTTACACAAATAGCATTTTAGAAATAAAAGTAAATATCAAGATTTCACTTTGGCTTATTCAGTAGAAAGGTATAAGAAAATATACTTAAGTACCCTCCTTTTTTAGACAGAATGGTCCCTTTCAGAGAGGTAGATTAGCATAAATATACATAAATGTCATTACTTATTTATTGTTTCAGCTGGTTAACTACAATGTTGGACATATAAATGAATCATATCTTTCTTTATAAAATCGTAATCCTAAAAGTAACTAATTACTCCACTTAACTCAAAATATGAAGTATAGAATAATAAGGAAAGGAAAGCTAAATGAAAATAAATCTGGAGTATGAGAGCAATCCGTATAAAGCTCTGTACCGCCAAAAAGTCAGATATACTCCTCTCAGTCAAAATAATAATAATAGCACCAGCCATTAGTTCTTAGAGGATAACTTAAGATAAAGTGAAGCTTTGATTTTATTCTGCTTATTCTGTTGAGCTGACCACAGGCTAGGCCTACTGAGACTAAATATACTATCAGAGTAGTTAAATACTTATTAGTCATAGGTTAACCAACAGTTAATTCATATCTTAAAGCTACACAGGGGTGAAAACGATCCCTAATGTTTCTTATTTTGTCCCCCAGAGCTCAAACAGCAACTAGTCTGTAAGCAGGAGGAGAATGAAGTACTTCTTGATCAGCAGCTCTGTATTAAGAAGAGGAACTCCATTTTGGATCAAGAGCCTGCAAAGATTAAAGAAGAACAGGAGGAACTGTGCACCATGGAGGGAGAGCAGCTCGTACTGAAGCAGGAGAGTGCAGCAGAGGAACATCCCCTTGACAAAATTCGTATTGTGTGGGTGAGATCTGAATCTGACAGGAATAACTCTGTTGTATCAGAGCAGAGAAGTGGCAAACGGCTCCTCCCCAACACCTCTCAAGTAACAGATAATCAAGACCACAGAAGAAAAAAACATGGAAAGGAAACACAAAAAACAAATACAACATCAAAACCTAAGCAGCAGAAAGGTGCATCCATTACAACAATGGCAAATAGTTGCGGAAACACATTGTCAACTACAAATTCTGAGCCAAAACCAAAGAAGAAACATAATGAAGAGAAAGCATCAAGTACACATTCTGAGCCAAAACTAAAGAAAAAACCTGATGCAGGGAAAGCATCAAGTACATGTTATGAGCCAAAACCAAAGAAGAGAAATAATGAAGAGAAAGCATCAAGTACACATTCTGAGCCAAAACCAAAGAAAACAAATAAACATAGTGATGGAAGATCAGCTGCAATTATTGAGCCAAAGCCCACAAATAAATGTAACAAGGTCTATCCCACATTGACCACAAATCATGCCCCAACAACTCAAGATACACATTACAAAGGGAACACAACATCAGCAGACACTACTGAGCCAAATCCCCAGAACAAACCTTGCAAGTGCGACGAATGCGGCAAAGCATTTTCTCATTTCCGTGACTTAAAAGTTCACATGAGAATCCACACGGGGGAAAGGCCTTTTGAATGCAGCTACTGCGCAAGGAAGTTCGTCCAGAGTTCTGCTTTGAGACGACATATAAAAACTCACACTGGAGAAAAGCCCTTCCAATGCAAATCATGTGGGAGAAAGTTTGCCCAGATGTCTTCGGTAACCAAGCACATGAGAACTCACACAGGGGAGAAGCCCTTTGTTTGCATCACCTGTGGAAGAGGATTCAGCTGCAAAGTGAATATGCAGAAGCACATGAGGATTCACACAGGTGAGAAGCCCTACACCTGCAGCGCCTGCTGGAAGGACTTTGCAGACTACTCATCGCTGAAATGTCACACTCGACTGCACACAGGGGAGAAGCCTTATCAATGCCCTCAATGTAAGGAAAGATTCACAGTCAGCACAACTTTGAAAAAGCACATAAGAACCCACACAGGTGAAAGGCCATATAAGTGCAACACTTGTGGAAACAGTTATTTTCAAAGAATACACTTGAAATTACACCTCAGGGTTCACACAGGCGAGAACCCGAACAAATGCAGCGTCTGTGGAAAACAGTGCAGAAGCGGAGCAAAGCTGAAAATTCACATGAGGATTCATACTGATGACGCTCCGAGCAGCAGTTCTGTAAAGTTGTAAATGCATATCATGAAAAAAGTCATCATTATGTAACAAAAGGGCTTTTTTTTTAGATCTTATAAAAAGTGTTCTCTTAAACTTAAAGAAAATTGGCCCTTGAAATAGTGTTGGAGCTGTTTGAGCTCACAGGCCCCTGAATCACACATATGTGATATCGACAATGAATGGATAAAAAATGTTTTGGCCTAGAATCAGCTGCTCCCTTCAGTATTACAGGATTTTAATAACCCTCTATGATCAACAGATTACTCAAAATGCCTCTGTAGAAAACAACTCATGGTCCCATTCTGCCATCATGTGGTCCTTTATATATTTGCAATATATCATTTACATATATATTTTTATTTGCTTTCAGGTGATATTCGGTGTGGTGGGTTGTGTGTTATTTGCAAATTGCTTGTAGATTTGTATGCTGTCAATATCCGCTTGTATTGCTATCCCTGTGCAACATTTCCATTGGTATCTACTCTTTTTTGTTTGGTGTTTTTGGTGTGTTTGCATTAAAATGATATTATGTGTCTTAATGTATTTGTCTTTTATTCACTTACATTGTATGGTTAGATCATTTTTATTGTAAAAGTTGATATACAGGTTACCCATCTGTCAATGTTAAAGAGAAACCTTTTAGTTAAATCAGAAATTACCCAATTCTGCTATCTAGTGGGCATGTATAAACTTGCACCATTAAAGGCTATTTTAAAGCCTTTTCTCGCTAACTTTCTACTCTTATATTAACCCCCAGATATTGCATTCGGGTTCAGATATATAACAGGAGCGGGAATTAAACCTGAGTATATAAAGTGTGCTTCACCCTACAATTTACCACCTGAGTGACCTCACACATACCCAAATAAGGTAAGATATCATTGCATCCACTATTACCTTTGTATGCACACACGATTATCTCTTCATATACACCCACAACCAAAGGCTCACTAAAAATATTATTTTAGAGCACAGCTTGCTGTCAGATATCGAAATGAAGTGTATGTATATAGTTAGATTAATGTGGTAAACAGTGTGATAAACTGATAATACATTGTTTAAAATGGAAGAAAATTGCAGAAGCACTGTCTCTGTGTGTCTGTCGGACCACCCACCTACGCCTTTGTACATGTATCAGTCTGTGCTGCAGTGGTTAATCAGTGGGTCGTGGCTCCAGAGCTGCAGTGGCTCCAGTGTCATTGTGGAGCATTAGCAGCTCACAGGTTGGTTCATAAATCATCTAGATTATGTTTACACAGCTGGTTGCAACCCTCCACTCTCCTAACCCCAGCCTCGGACACTGTATCAGTTTCAAACAGGCAAATATTTGTAATCATCTTGGAGGACTTGTATTACTTAGTTTCCCTATGTGATTGATGGAGTATCTGTGAGTAGCCCTTTGGGGGGCAACTAAAAAACAGTAGGCCTTACAAAATAAAGTAGGCTTCATTGAAATGCTCCCTTCTGTGCTGTACCAAAGAAAACCCTAATGGTTAAAGTTAATATACTTAGCTAGTTTGATCATTGTACTCGACTTTATTAACTGTGCTCAGTCACCCATACAAGTTATGTTCTTATCTGTTTGGTTTATAATTTAATTGTTTGTTATCTGAGGTGGGAAGTAATTAAGTACTACATTTACTCAAGTACTGTACTTAAGTACAATTCTGAGGTACTTGTACTTTACTCGAGTATTTCCATTTTATGCTACTTTGTTCTACTACATATTAAATACCTTTACAGATTTGGATTATAATCAACACTTAAATCAGACGTTAAACCTGGAGTAAATTCACAATGCCGTATAAAGTCATTAAAACTAGCTGCACCTTTACCAGCTTTGATAACACTTTAATGCAGGGGTGCCCAACCTTTTTTTAACCGAGAGCTACTTTTAAAGTTGCTAGTCTGCCGAGATCTACCAGTCCAAATAGAGAGGCGTAGCCATTACTGACAGCCTACTACCAGGTAAATACACACTTCTACTTGTATAAAACTGACCTTTGTACGATGAATACTTCATAAAACACTGCAGATCCTTTATCTTACCTCTTTCTAATCTACACACATACAAGTATTGAACTGAAGTTACACAACAGTGTTGTTGATACAGAGTTGGAGTTTATCCACACCACGTCACTACAGTGGGTCATGTTTTCAAGAAGCATTGAACAGTGCTGCCACATATGACACAGGGAAAAAAGAAAATACTCTGAACCCTTTCTTTGCCATTATATAAAAATAGTGTTGCTACAAAAGTATAAATTAGGCTTACCAATAAGACAACTCAGATCTGAAGCTACACAGGAATCTGCTGCAACAGTGCAATACAAAAGACAACATTAATAGAATCAAACCCTTTTTTGTTGCATTTTAGTAGATTATAAAAATAAATGCCTTTAAAATAGGATAAATATAAGCTAAAATAAGCAACACTAGTTTCTTAACCTGAATTGATAATAGACTATAATCAATTTAAGTTTGCATTCTTATACCATTTTGTACAATAATTATAATGAATAAGTTCAAACAAACTCAAACTTACAGCTGATTAATAACGGTATCTAACTTGAGTTTTTATCATATCAAAAACCTGTTGAAATGCTTCTGTTATTTTTATTACGCATCGGCAGCCTCCAGGAATGCTTCTTTCACAACTTCGCCGTCTTTGAAAGACTTCATGTGTTTCGCAAGAACGTGACTGACACGATAAGATGCTATGGTAGCAGCCTTGCTCTTGTTGTTGGGCCTGGTGAAAATGGACTGCTGTGCATTTAGCTCTCCTTTCAGGCCCCTCCCCTTTTGGGAGTGTAGGGCAGAATTAGGAGGGAATTCCGTCTCGTAGCGTTTGTGCACTGTTTTGAAATGCCGCTCCTAAATGACCCTTCTTCGATAAAGCCACGCTCGTATTGCAGATGAGGCAGATGCACTTTGAATTGGAATAGATACAAAAATAATCATCCTCCCACTCGGAGTGAAAATTATATATGTTTTGCTTCTGCCATAATTGCGGTCTTGTGTGTTTGCGGACTGTCACTCCTGTTGACATGGTCGGACAACAACGTTAGCGAACTAGTGCACTGCCCACTGCTCACCAGCCACGCCCCGACACATGGGGTCACGCCGGCCAATCACAAAGCTTTGATGCGTCAAGTGCATTATTCTGGCACAGGAAGATTATGTTGCAGGACATTAACGATAAAACAGAATGGAGAGGCAAAGTCCCTCCCCTTCCGAAAGCCTCCATGGGACCCCGGAAGCGGAAAATTATACATTGAAGTCAATGGAGAGAGAAAGGTTATCTTTTGATCCCGTTTGAATTGTGCCACGAATGACACATATGATGTTTGTCAATTTAATAGAACATTTTGCAAGTCAAAAAAATAAAAATGTGTCGTAAAACTGTGAAGTTACACATTTTTTTTGTGTGAAACCGCTCAGTGAACTACAGGTCTCTGGTCTCGCACAATACGCGTCACCAACATAAAGATGGCCGTCACGTTAGCACATTTCACCACATTCTTTCAGAATGAGAATAAAATTATTTTACGAGGTGAAAATCACTACAAGTCTGGGCAAGTTGAGAGCTGTACCTATATGAAAGGGGAGTTAGTCGGTTCTGCAAGAGCCAGCATGCGGGACCGGCTTTACAAGGTTTCGGTGAGTAATATGAGTGCAATGTTTAACGTTAATGTCAGCTAGCTAACATTAGCTAACAAGGTACACTAACGTGTTTTGTTTTAGCAACTAGTTTTCTCCTTAAGAACTTCGTGGTCTCTGTGTATGCTGTGGATAACATTAGTGTTCACAAGAACAAGGTACACTCCCGTGTTTTGTTTTAGTTGCTCTTCAGATTGAAGCGGACAGTTTTATATCGATTATACTGTATGTGTGATCTCCTTTTTCTCGTTGTGTCATTTGACTTTATTTGCTGTGTGTAGATTCAAGGATTTTGGTTATCTAGGCACAGCTGTGTGTGACTCCTTCTGGTACACTGGTATGTGTTTTCCTAATGTAGAGAGCATTGATTAATTAATAAACTACACACTGAGTCTAGATCCTGACCAAATCCTTTTTTATTGTTGATCAAATGTTTTTCAAAAATGTATTCATACACATTTAGAAAAATACAATGTACAATCACAACCAATACAACACAAATTACAAAAAATACAGAAAAAACAAACAATAACAACAGACAAGAGGACAAAACTATGGAAAAATAAACCCTCCCACCCCCAGATCCGGACCATCCTTGTATTATTGCTCATTCAATCTATTATAGCATGCTAACAAATGGTATTTACTTTATTTTTACAGATCTGCATGGGAGACGATGGCGCGATGCAGAGCGCTGTCTGTGATTGTGCACAGGAGATGTACAAATGCAGCCACGCTGCAGCATTGGCAATATTTGCCATGTGGCAGATCAGCTCCACAGATGTTGAGTGCCAGTGGAGGAAGCCTGGCACTTAAAAAGTAGTCCAGCCGGTGTCTCAACTTTACCAACAGCGAGAGGAGACATACAACCCACTGGCCAGAGACATCGCCAACTGTCAACTGGGGGGTTGTAAACGAAGCCGAAGGGGTGAAGGCTTTTGTGGAGGCCTATCAAGTGACAGTGTTCGAATCGAGTCTGGTCTCTTTGTGAGTGAGTCGGGTGTTTTGGGAGCATCACCCGATGGACTTGTGCAGCCATCTGCCCTGCTGGAGGTGAAGTGTCCACACAGCCAGAGGAACATGACCATCGCGGAGGCAGTCCAGTTACCATCCTTCTGTCTCCGTGAGGAGGGTGGGTCATATATTCTCAAGGAGAATCACCCATACTGGCATCAGGTCCAAGGGCAGCTGCATATCACAGACCGGAGTCTCTGCTACTTTGTTGTGTGGACCACGAAGGAGGCGATCATCATCCCCATCCCCAAAGACCCTGCATGGCATGGAAATCTCCTCCTCCTGGAACAATTCTACACCCAGCATATGCTCCCTGTGTTGGCCAGTAGAGAGGAGGACATTTCAATAAACATACTCTTAACACCCTCGGACTCTGCGTTGTGTTTCGTATGTGTGATGAAGTGTTATGCAGAGGGGAGGAAAACAGGACACAGCAGATTGGGATTGTGGTGGAGATGCTGAGCAGTTATTTAATTGTTGCATGTAATTATTATTATACTGCGTGCTTCTGAGTTATTCCATCTTTTGCTGTAACATGGATCTGTATGTAACTCTATATTTACTTGTTATCTAACACACTTCCTTCTACATCATACACCATCATTATACATGATGGTGTATATAGGATATATATATTTGTATACATATCTGTAAATTGTATAATTTTATTTAAACATCTTTTTGATCTCTCAAACTGAGTAAGATTGACAATAAAGTTGACTTTGAAAAATATATATATTCTTTATGAAAATAGTTGACTGTTGTCAAATGAAACGTTGGATTGAACTACAACTATGCCTTTAAATCTCTACGGACTGTTTTTCAGTGGGATGGCAAGTTCCTATCTTTAAACATTTATTAGTTT